GAAAGCTATGGAGAAGGTCAACTTAAGTGTCACCACTTGGCACATACAGGACAACCAGATGATTAGGCCCAGTCAGCATGGGTTTGAGAAAAGAAGGTCCTGCCTAACTAACCTGATCTCCTTCTGTGACAAGGTGACCTGCTGAATGGATGAGGGAGAAGATTTTTTTTACCTGGACTTCAGTAAAGCTTTTGACACTGTTTCCAACAGCATCCTCCTGGAGAAACGGGCAGCTCATGGCTTGGATGGGCATACACTTGGTTGGATAAAAAAAATTGGCTGGATGTCCAGGTCCAAAGAGTTGTGGTGACTGGAGCTAAATCCAGTTGGTGGCCAGTCACAAGTGGTGTTCTCCAAATCGGGCCAGTTCTGTTTAATATCATTATCAATCATCTGCATGAGGGGATCAAGAGCAAAGTGTGGAGATGACACCAATATAGGCAGGTGTGTCAATCTGCTTGAGGGTAGGCATGATCTGCAGAGGGACCTGGACAGGCCAGGTCAAAGGTCAGTGGTATGAGGTTCAACAAGGCTGACTGCCAGGTGCTGCACCTGGGAGGAGTGGCTGGAAAGCTGCCCCATGGAAAAGGACCTGGGGGTGCTGGTCAAATATGAGCCAGCAGAGTGCCCAGGTGGCCAAGAAGGCCAGCAGCATCCTGGCTTGGATCAGCACTAGTGTGGCCAGTAGACTAGGGCAGGGCTTGCACCCCTGTAATATCCACTGGTGAGGCTGCAGCTCTAATCCTGGGTTCAGTTTTGGGCCCCTCACTACACGAAAGACATTGAGGGGCTGGAGTGTGTCCACAAAAGGGCAGTGAAGGTGGTGAAGGGTGTAGAGCACAAGTGTTGTTAGGAGCAGCTGAGGGACCTGGGGGTGCTGAGCCTGAAGCAAAGGAAGCTCAGGGGAGACCTTCTGGCTCTCTACAACACCATGGCAGGAGGTTGGAGCCAGTGGGGGTTCAGTCTGTCCTCCCAGGTAATCTGTGATAGGACGAGAGGAAATGGCCTCAAGTTGCATGAGGGGAGGTTTGGGTTGGATATTAGGAAAAAAATCTAGCCTGAAAGGGTTGTGAAGCCTTGGAACAGGCTGCCCAGGGCAGTGGTGGAGTCCCAATCCCTTGAGGGATTTAAAAGCCATGGAGATGTGGTGCTGAGGGACATGGTTTAGTGGTGACCTGGCAGTGCTGGGGGAATGGTGGGACTTGATGATTTTAAAGGTCTTTTCCAACCTAATGATTTAAGAGGATCCATCAGCATGTCCATGTCTGCCAACCCCTGGGCTGTGTCTGACCCTGGTTCCCCTCATTGGGCCTGATCCTGACTCCCACCTCTGGACTGACATCCCAGCCTGGCCACAGGCCACCCCTCTCCCTACGGATCTGTGTGATCCCTAGGGCTGGGGCTGCCCCAGGGAGGCACTGAGCCTTGCCTTTTAGGAAACCGAGCTAAGATATTAGTTATCTTCACAACACACCAAAAAGCAAACAAAAAAAATTAAAGCCTGCAGCTCTGCTTTACCCCTGCACACAATTAACATCCACTAAAATTTATGAGTTTTGTTTTTCTTTCCAGCAAGCCCCATAGACTCCATAGTTTTATAGTTCTCATCTCGAATTTATCTTGAAAAGTCAGCAAGTGAGAGTCAAGTTTTTATTTTGGTTTTAAAGGAAAATAAAAGTACCCAATTTTAAAAAGACAATAACCAATATTTCACTCCCTAATACTGCTGTCAGAGAAAAGAATCTAGCCTCTACCAAGTGCTTGGCTACAAAGAGAGTGGGTTAGTGAAGCACAGCCAAAAAAAAAGCACTAAAACACTAAAAAAACCCATCCCATATATACACCAAGGGCTTTAAGTTAAAACAAACAAATAAAACTTCAAGATAAAACCAGTTATTAAAGTAAGGTTTGCATAGTTTCAATTTCTCAGAACCTACCAATATCACTTTCATTAAAGATTAATTTTGTCCCCCCTAAAAAAAAAAATAGTAAGGTGTTTTTCTTAAAAAAAGAAAAAAGTGTATCCATATTTCTGCACTATCTGTAGATCAAAGTCAGTACTCATGAAGCAATATGAAATCTCTGGAATGTGAGACTTAACACAGGCTTTCCTTTCCTGAGCTGACAATTAAAAATAAGAACAATGCCATGTGGTTATTTCCCACCCACTGTCATCTAATTATATTTTTTTTTTCAGCTTTCAAAGGCACTTCATTTAAAAATAAATACAAGTTTGGTTAAAAATAAGGAGGAACAAAGATGAAAATGGTAAGGTGTTTATCACTGAGTTCCTCAGACATTTTGATATGGGGAAATAAATCACTCTCACCTTTTTAGAGTGCATGGAGAAAAAATCTGTGCAGGATCCCAAGGTGATGATAAAATTAATATATAGATGTACATATGTATTCATAGATACCCATCTCTCTATATGGCAGAGTATAAAAGGGCACAGCACAGAATTACATAGGGTGGTCTAAACATCATTTTCCTTTCTTTATTCCAGGGTGACAAAATGAGTCAATAAATTCAACCTTTTTTAATCAACAATCACAGAGAAATAATTATCAATGCCTTTGTAAAAGGCCTGAAAAGCTGCTGACAGAAATTGTGCTGTAATATTAGTGATTCACATTCATATCTGGCATAAATTGTTATATAGTCATTGGCTCCACTGAATTTGGGCCCATTCTGTCTTCTGAACTTCTGTTGCACAATTTGTACATGATGTACCGTTCTTAACATTTAAAATATGATTTTTAATTTTTTTTTTTTTTTACTACTCACAAGTTTAGTTGCATTTTACAAAATACAAAATGGGCAATACCTTTGACTTTAAGGAACAGGGACTCACTCTGAAGTATTGAATCCCAACATTAACAAGCTGCTGTTGTCAAGATGCAATTAGTACAGAGCTTCTATCACTTAATTATAATTCAAATTATATGAAAAAGTGCATTAAATATGGAATGTATTTATTGTGCCTATTATTGATCTATATAATTGTGCTTTGTAACTGCCAGTTACTCTGATGAAAAATTACTAATAACATTTTACAGAACAGTAGATCAGAATTTTAGCTGAATAAAAAGCCTGAAGACACATTTTGTTTTGCTTAATAAATAAATCTCATTGCTAGAAAGAATTCTTAAAAATCTCTCTTTTACCAAAAGGAGATTTTAACACAGAAGTGCAGCAAATATTTTACTATACCAAACTGAACAGATAATTTTCTTTCTATGAATGCACAATACCAGTACACAGACATTTTCAAGTAAGCTAAATTTACAGGACTTGTTCCAATTCTTGTTGCATAGTGAAAAATAGGAGGACTAATAAAACCAATTTTCAGACCCACTTTTCCATCTTCTACCTAAAAAACATAAGACAAAACAGGAAATTCTCATATAGAAAATTAAAGGAAAAATTAACATTGCATTATCTTCAAGCTGTACATGGCCAAATCCTGACCCTCTGGGTTCAGTCAGATCTAAAGGGAACAAGAATGGTGCCAAATGAAGGGTGTACTGTAGATCATGTTTCTCATTTCCAACGTCTCCCCCAAAACATCTCCCATCAGCTCACAGAAAAGTCTGTGAAAGTTCATTTCTAAGTGTTGAGTCACTGGTGTGAAGCTACAAACATTTTGAATTTTGAAGGCACAACTTTCTAGTTATAATCACAATCATAAGAATCCACACCCTTCAGCTCTAATTTACAATAAATCATAATGAAAGGTCAGAAAAAAGAAGAAATTCTTGATTTTGCTAATTGGGTTTTACCTGTGCAAATAGGGCTTGCGGTCCCTACTGGGGCTAAAAGATAATAAAGTGGGGACAATAATAACACAAGAAGTGATATTAAATCATCCCCTCATTTTTTTTTAGCTCATTTTGCTGATTTCTATTCTCAAAGCTAACAGACTTTGTCAGAGCTAAAACAGTTTTTGCTTTTCAATCTCCTAGGAAGATGTCTGGTTGCTTTGAATGTTGTCCCATACTGGTATATTCTCTCTTGTTCTTTCTAAAATAATCTTGATGATTTTAAAGCCCAGATGAGCAAGCACAGTCAGGGGAGGATCAGCTCAGATATTTTCAGACAACTACACTATGTGAATCTGGACCAAAAGTGGTCACTTGTACAGCAAGAGGAGACCTAGTCCCTAAAGTCAATGAAATTCAAAACATGATTCATCTGAACAAATGTAGACCGCTACTTTAAGATGAGAACACTTGATAGTACTGCCTGCACTGAACAATTCAGGGGCACATAGCAACAGATAATACTGAGTATAAAGGAGTCTAAAATGAGCAGCTTAGATGTAATCACCTACACTGAGACGAAATCCAATCCCTACTCTGTGAAGGCAGAAACAAGTTTAAAAAAAAAAAAAAAGTGTTTTCTCCTAGTGTATCCATCTATCAGACTTTTATATTTTTATATACTCTCTATATTTTATATAAACTATATGTTTTATATTATCTAGCAGACTTTTGTATTTTTCTATCAGGTAATATATTTTCAAAGTATTAATAATATTAAAATATATTAAATATATTTGCAAGTTGCTCAAGTTTATTTTCAACAAAAAACCTGTTCTGTTTAGAAACACAATTTCAGTTGTGTTCAGTTAGAAACACAACTTCAACAAGTACATTAACCTGTGCAGAACACAGAGAAATGTAAAGATTTTCTAGAGACACATAAAAAAATGACTCAGAAAGAACTTGAAGAAAAGAGTGTGTATTATTTACTCAAACCACTGAAACTTTGATGAAGTAGACTAGCCTTGATGGGTTACTGAATCTTTTCTCTTATATGGTTCTTGTCAATATGACTTCTGAAGTAGCGTTGACTAGAGAATAAAAAAAAAATATAATCATGGTCATTAATTTCTTTCTTTCTTGTTTTCAAGCACAGGTTCCCCTCTGAGTCACAGATTTCAAAGAACTAAAAGTTTGAAGTGACTTGATATTGAACAGCATTTCAAGTAAGCTTACCAGTTTCAGAGAGCAGCTTGGTAGCTTCCAGCACCTTCTCAGTATAAACTCCAGTCTCATAGTTTTCCATCTCTGCATTAATGATGTGAATAACTCTGGCTGCACGGCCTCGGATGGCACCCGCAGTTCTGTCCAGGGTATCCACATCCCCCTCTTGGAGAGCAATCACACATTTATTCACATCTTCCAGAATATGGTTTTCTGGAAGGCAGGAAAAAAAAATAAGGCTCGTTTCATTCTGTTCTTCCTCAGAGCAAAGCTTACTGATTTGGGTAAACAGCAAATGTCATTATGTTAAAAAATTGCTATCTGTCCTTATCCAGGTCTGCAATACAAATAACATTCTGTGATAATATGCAACATAAGAGTGAAAATTCCAAGTGTGATATTTATCTTTAAAAGGGACTGGGCTGTGTCCTCTCACCTCTATTCCAAGTAGCAACCTGCAATTCCTTGAAAAACAGCCACATTAATTTCAAACATCACACTGAATTTTATTATAATACAAGTGTAATAAACATCTATGTAAATAGGAAAGCAGTCAAATATTATGCAGATGTTCTAATAAACAGTTAGGCAATTTTCTGAAGATGAATTTACAGATTCCCATAAACATTTAATACATTTGGTTTATTTGTGCCTAAATAAGTTAGAAAAGAAAATAATTCATTTTGAAAAGACAACAGCACATGGCCTTTGCAGATAGCAGGGAGCCTGTGCATGGGCAGTTCATATCCTTTACTCCACCTATGTGAGAGATTAAGCTGTGAATTTTTCATGACACACAGTATAATTATATGTGACTGTGCATATTCTGAAGTAGGAGCTGACAACAGTAAGTCTTCTCAGATGATGTAACATCAAGCAGCTTTATTGAGATCTTGGGAGCTGCACTGATTTTTCTCAGCTCAGAATCAGGCCATCTACTCTCGTAGGTGGCAGTATCATAGTTCATGTATTATTCTCCCATCCAGATAATGTGAAAGGATGAAGATGATTTTGACTAGGATGATGCAGACCTTGTCTAGGTCAGACATTATTTCCCTCCAGCCAGTCAAGTTAAAAATAATTTCAATAATAAAACTATGACTGCATTTTTTATTTGAGCAAATTCACTCGGAGAAACTCAGTGTCTCTAAACTGAATTTTCTGCCACAGACAACACTCAACTGAAAATGAAATGCTGTTCTTTGCAGTAGTAATAAATAAAACAGAATCAAGCAGTTCACAAAATGCTTTTTGTTAATTATCAAAAATAGAATGACACATGAATCTTCACCATTAAAAATCCCAACACTGGATCATTAGAGGGTTGCACAAATGTTTTACATGGTGAACTTTAAACTGTAACAAGTGTGAATGAAAACTGAAAGTCCCTTGAGCTGTGAATCAGAGTAACATGCAAGGCAAAATTCTTTCTTTAAAAAACTCTCTATCCAGTTTCAAATGGCTCTTTGCTGAAATATTTCATCACTATTTCCTCCTCCTCATCATCATCAATATTGTTTACCATGGCATAGAAAAATTTTGCCCAAGAACTGCTATATAGATTTGAACAGACAGTGTATTTGGAATATAAAGTAACTGATTAAAATTATGGTCAGTTCTCTTTTGGTAGCCACCATGTTAATAAAACATGCCATCAAATGTGACACTCAATATGAAGAGGAGGAGGAGGTGTCATTTCAGTATGTTTAACCAGACACTAGTTTAAAATCCAAAAATAAAACTACTCTGTGTAAGTTGAGGCTTCCAAGCTTACAGCTAGCAGCAACAGGATTTCTGGCTGTATCAGAAAAAAATATCTAAAGCCAACTGAAATACTACTTCTCATCTGCCTTGGAAAGTTTGGATCTAAGCTAAGATTATGTTAGAAGAAAATATAATCTGAAAAAAAAACAAAACAAAAAAACTTTCATGAAATAACTTCTGGTTTTATGGATATAAGTGCTTGAAGTGAACAAAATCTTCACACAAATAACCAAATGGCCAGTTAAGCAAGTTTGCCATCTCTTTGGCTTGTGGACTGTGTCTGCAGTTTACAGCTTGATCTGCCCTTTGATGAGAGAAGTATGTCTAGTGAAGTGTTTGCCAGCTTCAAAACTCAAATAAAAATCTATGTGCTACCAGGTTCTGAAGTACCCTTTTATTCTGAGAGTTCAGTTTCATTTTCTTGCTATGGCTTGCAGTAAACACTCCAGCAGTGAGTGCAATTATACTAAACTAAACCATATCACTGTTACTAATAATAGTGGATTACAACCAAACAAAATAGAGGAGAGGACAGAAAAGAAAAAAATAAGGATTTTTAAAAATGATAAATATTTTTTTCTCCAAACATCTTAAACTTTTATCAGGAATTTTGGGAAACATCATGGAAAAGAAAGTAGAATGAAACATAAATTAAGGCCAACCTATCTCCTAAAGTTTGGGTCTTCAATGATGTTAGAATAAGCCAAGCACGCTTGGCACACTCTATGTCCTTATTCACAACAAGAGAATTCACATATTTCAAACCATAACAGGAAAACTATATTTCTGCAGCAGACAAACCCAGATATTCAGCCCTTGGCATTTATAGCATTCATTGTGTATGACTATATTATAACAAAACACTCTGCCACAAGTTGTAGCGCTTCACAAGGAGGATGGACAAAAAACTGTGACACAAAGAGTCAATGTCCTTCTCTTCTCCATCCCTCCTTTATGTAAGGACTAAGATATTTTGTCTGTTTTTGTAGAAAAACTCACTTTGCATTGCAGTCCTACCCAGTGAGGTCAGAGATTTGCTATTTCTTATACTACTTTACTACATTTCTCTGTTTGGTTGCATTGCTACACCAATAACCTTGAGACCCAGAAGTGCCTCCCAGCTCTTTGGAAATGTACACACTGGTCATGTCCTGAAAACATATCTAGATGGAACTATTTATTTTATTCTCTTACCTCTTCAGGGCCTGGGAACCTGGTATGGATGATCAGGGGGCCAGAACTATATGGCACATCTGCCCTACTGGTTAGACACCTGATCTGAGCAAAGCTACAAAATAAAGTAAGTAAAGCTCATCTTTCCTCCTCTTGCCTGTAACTGCACAAGGACTCTAACAACTCTTATTTGTATGGTACAAATACTATCAGCCTGTCACAGGTCTAGAATAAATTTTTAAAAGGTGGCCAAAATCCTACTTTGTGCCCAAGCTGAAACAAAACTTCTCTAGAAATAGAATCACAAAAAGGATGCTATTTTCTATGAGATGAAAAGCTAACCATTACTACCAGGGATTAATTGGCATGGCTTGGTTGCTCCTACTGAGTGAGAAGATCAGCATTCCAATAGTGAAGGACTAATGGACTAATGATGCTATAGTAATTACAACTTTTCTCTGCTCCAACCCATTAATTTGGGTGTATATTTTTAGAAGAGTCCTTTGATCCCAATACCTGAAACAGAGAGGAAATCATCCACTGAAGTGATGTCATCAACAGCTTCAGTGAGAACTCGCACTTGTTTCTCCCACTGATCTTTGAAGACGTCCATGTTGTCCTGGGCTACCTTGCTCTGGGGTCTGGCAGCCAATGTCAGTGCAGCATTGATTACCTGTTATTCAAGAGAATTTGTTACAAGGAGTGGTAAAATTTTTTTTCACAAGGGAAAAAAAACCAAATAAGATTGAGCACTATGTTAAAAATACAGCTTTACACCCCATCCAATATGCAGGTTTCAAGATATGAACATATTCTTCACAGTTCAGAGAAAGCAAGCAAAAATGTGAAGACAAAGGCAAGGTTTTAATCTTCATCTAGGCTGTCTTCCCTGCCTCAGATAACAAGCTTTTTAATGCCCAAAGAGTTCTCCAATACTTTTGAGCAGGAATCTCACTTACCTGTGGGCACAGACTATCAATCTGTGTTGCTGCCATACGGACTAACTTCACACCTTCTTCATTGTTTGAGATTGAACAGGCCAGATTTGCAACCTGCAATGAAATCAGCAGGATGAGAATCAGGTTTTAGGCAAGTGGGTCATTTCATACCTTTCTCTCTTCTTATTGAGCCTTGCCTAGAATGAAAGAATTGTATACAAAAGTAACATTACATTATCTTCTGTGTTGGTGAACAGAAACCCATGTAGATCATTTCCTTACTATCACACTGAACTAAACATCTTCATTAGATTTTTTCTCCAAATCTTCCCTCACTGTCAAATGTTTCATGTCCACCTCTATAGTTTGAAAACAATCTCCTGAGAAGTCATATGGAGGATTTGGAACATCCAATTATCTCTATATTTCCTTTCCTCACAGTTTTTTTTTCCTTCTAGTAACCATGTCCTTTATGTATACTAATAATCAGACTCATCTGGACACTCTGAGATTTGCAAAATGAAGAATCTTTGATGTCCTAACAGGTGGAATTGTGCTTTTCCACCCATACACAAACCTCTGATCCCTCAGTGATACTGGGAAGTTGCGTATTTCTCAAGTATCTTCAATGTTTCAGATCCTTTTCAGGCTTTGTGCATGTTAACATAGTTTTAATTCTCAGGTGGACCTCTTTATTTGTTTGCAATTGTCTGTCCTAGAGTAAAAATGTCCATTAGCAGGAGTATCTTAACTTGGTCACAGTAAATGTTTCTGTTGAAAGCCTCATTCTGTAAAGTATACCTGAAAATCTCATTCAAAGATGTAGGTGTTGAGAGGTGCTTACTCTGCCACAGTTTTGGGAAGCCTGGACTTTACAGGACTGAAGGCTGTTTGGGTAAGATGAAGTCAGGGGTGACTTAGAGAAACACTTGAATGAGATTGAGCAATCAGACCTTGCCTCCAGACAGTGCAGAGCTGCATCTCTGTGGCTTGGAAGCAAGTGGCAGAGCGTATTCTCCCAGCTCATAGAGTGCTTCTTGCAACAAGGAAACCATTCCCAAAAGCTTTGTGCCAAGTCCATGAACCTGCCTTGGCTTTTCCAAACAACAATTCATGTCACAGTGCATGCAACTGAGCTCATCAGTGTTATTTGAATCACAAAGGTACATTCTGGGACAGGAGAATACAAGATTTTTTTTTTAATCATCCAAGAGTATGGCTTTTAATTCTAATTGACATTAAAAACAAACTTATAAAAATTTAAATATGCTTCCTTGATATTATTCACTGTGCCCGAAGGCATAACTATCAGTTGGAAATGATTCATGAATTAGTTCAAATACCCCCATCTTTTCAATTTTCCTCCAGTCTCCCCTTGTGGTATTAATCTGTTCTCATCTCCAGTGCACATCGCCACATTAGCCCTGGTCCATCTGTTCTGCATAGAACCTATTTCACTTCACAGTTATGTAGAACGTGGTTTGCATATATCACAGTGCCAAAGCCCAGGGAAGAAAAGAACCTGAGGCTTCAAAGAGTCTTGCAAGTGTTTCCTACTCAAGATCTTATCATAATGTTCTGATTTTTATTTTCATTTCATGGTGAGACAAATGAGTTTGTCTGTTTGTTAACAGCCTCACAGCGTTCATGTCAAAAATGTTCTCCTAAGCTGACATCTTCCAATTAATTTACCATTTTCTGTAGTCACTTCCTTGTACACATCAAACAGACCACGTTAATCTTCATAAGAAACAAAAGTTAAGTAGGATAATAATTAGAATGCATTGACATGAGTGGAAATTACAGACCTTAAAGCTAGCAAATGGTATTAAGCTCAGCAAAAGCCATCTTCCTATATTTTAAATAAGTGGCTTTTCAGATTGCCCTTTCATTTGGAGATTACCATGATGAAGATCTACCCTAAGGCTTCAGACACACTACATATCTTGTTTTCTCAGATAGCAGTGAGACATGTGACTGAAAGTGGCTGAGTGTCATGAAATAGCAATCAAACTATTAAGCAGGTGTTTGAGTTCCCTTGGAACAAAAAGATTTAGTGATCAGTGAATATAAAACATTCCTTCTCTGTTTCTGTTAGTTACTCTTTCAACAGAATCTGATGAAATGATATTTGGATATTGTAAAGTGTCCTGGTTTTCCAGGAAAGAATATAGATGGGATCAGAGAATAATTTTTCTACTTTTTTTTAAAAAATAGAATTCAGTACACTGTTCTGGATGTGTATTATCAACACAGAAGGAGTACAAATGTAATCTACGACTACATTAAATATGTATCCAAAGAATATTAAAGTTATCTGTTTAAAAAATAAAAATATACAGATCATATGTAATACAAATCTAAATAGTTTCTGTGGTATATTTCAAGTCTTGAATAAATACAGTCCCATATCATCAGCAGTCAGAAAGCAACCCTATCTTCACCATTCAGCAGGGACTATGTCAACCTGTACCACGGGAAGATCTGATTAAGTGAAATAAGTACACAAAGGTAGATGCAATCTAGATAAAAATGAATTTAGTACTACAAATCTGAAATGCTGTGACTTTACCCAAAACTCACTTCTAAAATATGGCAAGAAATAGACACTACTTGCTGTGCTGTCATTTAAGCATGGACCTCTGAACCAGTGCAAGTTCTAAGTTCACTCAGTCACCAGATGCAACACTATTCAATTATCTTGATTGACTTCGTTATCAATTTACCATTGGTTAAGATTCTTGGCACAGCCAGGTCCATGTGCATCCTGTTAATCGATACAGACTGTGAGGGACTTCAACATGCTTTAGCCTACTACAAATTCAGCAACCTCAGATATTTCTCCTACCTAATTAAACTACGACCAAAAAAGCTTAGACCCAATTCCACTCCATTTAGCTGAGACGCTTTGGCTAGGTGCCAAATTGATCTCTTTGGATAACAGATAAATAGATAAAAGCACTTCCAGAGACTGTTTCATGTCTTTGGTTGACTACCTCATTCTCTACATCTATCTCGATTATTATTTAAACTTAGATTATAACTAGCCCTGATGATTGTTGAAAAAAAGTACTACTGGAATAAAATAGGTTTTAATGGTGCACAGTAACTTGTTTTGCATGTACATATTTAATAGAGCATGTGTTGTAAAGTAGCCAGACTCTTCAAGGTTGGGAATGCATTTAATACATTACTCTTGAGTTGGATGGAGAAGATAGCTTGGAAAGGAAAATAAAAAGACTGTATGTTATTGAAGCTGCCAATTTCCCAAAACTTTGATTTGACAGCCTTTACCTTTATGCTTCAAGTGCTCTGTCTCCACCAAAGCATTGAAGAGGAGATTTCATGACAGGCTGTGGAAGCAACCAGGTAATTAATATTTTATATTTTTATTTTCTGTTTACGAAGTTCCTGCAGTGCATTGAATTCACTAATTACCCAAACAGAACTCGAGTTTGTGTCGAGATCAATATGAACTACCCAAAGAGTATTTATATGAATGAATACATTTGAAATATCAAAGTCAATGAACTGTGAATCATGCTAAAAATGCATGGGGAACTTAATAACAGTGAAACTGCTGTGTAGATAAACATTATTGTCCAGAATTTCAGGTCTGCTAAGCTACTCTTATGCCATCAAAACAATTGCTAAACACCTTAAACCTGTCCTGCAAGACCATGGAAAAGTAATGGGCAAGAAAATAAACTCTCCAGCTCCTGTGATGCCGCATTTTTCTGCAATCACCAACGTTGCTGAACCAGTTCTAGACTTTAGGAGCTGAAAAAGTATGTCCCAACTCCTTCACATTTATTTCCTATCACTGGAACTAATAGCCCAACATGCAATTCTCTACCTTGTTAGTTATCTATCTTTAACCATGCAAAGACTTCCATTAGTTTCAATTATTCAAAATACATGCAGGACTAGTCCCAATAAAATGTATTTGCATGTATTTGGTTGTATTTCAGCCTCCAGCAGTTTTCTGCTGTATAGCAGATGGGGGTGGGGAAGATCTTTGGTTTTGATGCAAATTTTTATTACTGTTGTTGAAAGGACATATCAGGGAAAGGATTTATCTAAATATATAGCTACAGGGCAGCTGGAAGTGTACGTACTCTACAGATAGGTGATGCCCACACCAGTTTTTTTTTGCTAGGTAGCAGCTGCAGCAAGGATTAGCATTTTTCCATTGCTTTTGACATACATACTACCCAGGACAGGAAAACATTTTTGGTTTTGTTTTTTTTTTGTTTTTTTTTCCAGCCATAAAATTGCACTCCAAGTTAACAAAAGCAATCAAGGATCTTTCATACCCATTCATTTACACTGATGAAAATCAGGTGTAGTTACCTTTTGTTGTGTTTATAAACTAGACCACTTCCAATTTTGACTTGAGCTCATTGTGTTATTAAAGATAACTGTGACTATCAAAATGTATTTTCTTCTGGTTCAAACTTCAGTTGAAAGATTTAACACAGCCACTCAGAATTTAATGCAAGTGAAAAGGTCCAAAAAAGAAAATAGATGGCTTAGAGCTAAAATGTAAAAAAGAGACCAGCATATGCAAAGGAGCAATATCAACACAAAGGCTACAGAATATTGTAGCTAATGTATGTAGTCTATTTTTTTCATTTTTTCTTTTTCACCATATATTGCTTAGAAGAAATGAGACAAAAAAAGGCTCTTTTCAGCTTCCCTAACTATTTAACCATTGTAAGGCAGAGAATGCAACCTATTTATAGCTTAGTTTCATGTATCCTTTGTAAACAAGTTATTTTTGAGAATTTACTCACATGTCTTTCCTATTTATGTAATTTATTTTTTCACTGTAACTAAATTTAGGGAAATAAAGAATAACTTAAACCCAAGACACAGTCAAATTTATCTGTCCACAGCACACACTTGAGAAACTGAATCTTCCTGAGATCTTCAGCTCAAGCTGAAGATGGTTTAAAGTAAGTCTTCTATAACATTCACAGCAGAGTGAAGCCAAGCAAATAATCAGTTACCATGTTTCAGCTGATCAGTGGTAACTTGCTGAACTGTGGTATCTTAACTATTTGTAATTATTTACCCATCCACTTAGTCATTTATCCAGAGATTGTTACAAT